AATCTAGACAAGATCATTGATGAAGGTGGCTACACTAAACAACGGATTTTCTTTCTTTTTTTTTTTTTTAATTTCAAAATATTATGGGGCAAACAACAGATTTTCAATGTAGATGAAACAGTCTTCTAATGGAAGCAGATGCTATCTAGGACTTTCCTACTAGAGAGTAGAAGTCAATACTTGGCTTCCAAGCTTCGAAGGACAAGGCTGGCTCTCTTGATAGGGGCTAATGCAGCTGGTGACTTTAAGTTGAAGCCAATGCTCACCTACAATTCTGAAATCCTAGGGCCCTTAAGAATTATGCTAAGTCTACTCTGCCTGTGCTCTGTAAATGAAACAACAAAGCCTGGATCTATTTATAGCATGGTTTACTGAATATTTTAAGCCCACTGTTGAGACCTGCTGCCCAGAAAAAGAGACTCCTTTTAAAATATTATACTACTGCTTACTGACAATGTACCTAATCACTTAAGAGCTCTGATGGAGACGTACAAGGAGATGAATGTTGTTTTCATGCCCACTAACACAACATCCATTCTGCAGCCCATGGATAAAAGGAGTAATTTTGACTTTCAAGTCTTATTATTTTATTATTATTATAATATCATCAAGGCTTCTTTATGGCTGCAATAGATAGTGATTCCTCTGATGCATCTAGGCAAAGTCAATTCCTTCTGGAAAGACTTCACCATTCTAGAGGCTACTAAGAACATTTGTGATTCGTGGGAGTAGTTCAAAATATCAACATTAACAGGAGTTTGAAGGAAGCTGATTCCAATTCTCATGAATGATTTTAAGGGGGTCAGGACTTCAGTGGAGGAAGAAGCTGCAGATGTGGAAATAACAAGAGAACTAGAATTAGAAGTAAAGCCTGATAATGGGACCGAATTCCTATGATCTCATGATAAAACTTGAGCAGATGAGGAGTTGCTTCTTATGGATGAGCAAAGAGAGTGGTTTCTTGAGATGGAATCTACTCCTAATGAAGATGCTGTGAACATTGTTTAAATGACGACAAGGGATTAAGAATATTACATAAACTTAGTTGATAAAACAGCAGCAGAGTTTGAGAGGATTGAGTCCTATTCTGAAAGAAGTTCTACTGTGGGTAAAACGCTATCAAACAGCATCACATGCTACAGAGAAATCTTTTGTGAAAGGAGGAGTCGACCAACGTGGCAAACTTCAGTGTTGTCTTATTTTAAGAAATTGCCACAGCCATCCCAGTCTTCAGCAGCCACCACCCTGATCAGTCAGCAGCCTTAACATTGAGGCAAGACCCTCTACCAGCAAACATGTTACAAGTTGCTGAAGGCTCATATGATCGTTAGCATTTTTTTTAGCAATAAAGTATCCCTATATACATTGTTTTTTTAAACATAATGCTATTGCACAATTAATAGACTATGGTATAGTGAAAACAACTTTTATATGCACTGGGAAACCAGAAAATTTGTGTGACTCACTTTATTCTGGTATTTGCTTTATTGCAGTGGTCTGGAACCAAACCCGCATACCATCTCTGAGGTATGCCTACAAATATGCATTACACATGATATCTATTTGTCTCTATTTGATTATATGAGCAGGAAGAAAAATATCGAAGGATGTTTTCTGAATTGTTAATGTGGATTATAGAACTGGAGATTGTTATGGGGGTTGGGAGAGAGGGTAAGGCATCCAAGCCAGAAAAGAAAGAAGTTCAGATAAGAAGACTGCAACAAATACATATATGATCATTCTGCATTCATGTAATATTATATGTATATGTCTATAATTTATGTTTTGAATATATTTTTTCAAGAAAGAGTTAATTTTATTTTGTCACTGTCCTGTTTAAAACTCTTCAGTGGCTTTCTTATCTCAAAGACCAGAATTTTGACTTACAAGAGCTCGCCCCTCCTTGCTTGTGTGTCCAGCCCAGCTGGTACTTCTTTTCTCATGCCATTGCCCCTCCTGCCATAGGGTCTTCATGGATTATTCTCTTGACAGGGCTCTGCCCCACTCTTCTTGGCAGAGTGAACTGCTGCTCATTCTTCAGAACTCAAGGGAGGCTTCCCTAACCCCTGCTGGTTCTCTAAGTGCGTGTTCTTATTGACACTCGATGCTTTTACTTAGGGGCACTTGCCACAGTTGCGGTTGGTGTTTGCCTAATTATTTGTGTGGAGTCTGCCTCCCCTAATAGAAAGTCAGCTCTGAGGGGGAAGGAGCTGTGTTTGTCTTGTTTTCAAGGGTCTCACGTACAATAGGTGCCCAATGAGTATTTCCTGAATGAAGAAATAGGTGGGTGAATCCCATCCTGAAGGATGGGAGCATACTGTTCTGAAAGGGGCACTGACCAAAGAGCCAGAAAATGTATCTCTGGTCTCTGTGGTGCCATAAACTTGCCTGTTTCCTCACCTGTAAAATGAGGTTGATAACCCTACAGCACAGAGATGTGGAGAGGGTTAAAGGGGAACACAAGAGGACGTGAATGCACAACCAGCAGAGAGTAAGCATCCAGCGAAACTGTCCCTTTTTCTTGGTGCCTTGCCTCTTCGCCAGTGAAATGCGGTAATGTGACTAAATAATTTTTAGAGTTTCTTTTAGCTTAAAATTGTACAGTTAACCTTTAAACAATGCAGAAGTTAGGGGCACTGACTCCCCACATAGTCAAAAATCCACATGTAAATTTTGACTCCCCCAAAACTTAACTACTAATAACCTACTATTGACCGGACCTTACCGATCACATACATAGTCAATTAACATATTTTGTATGTTATAGGTATCATATACTGTATTCTTACAATAAAGTAAACTAGAGAAAAGAAAATGTTAAGAAAATCATAAGGAAAAGAAAATACACTTATTATTCATTAAGTGGAAGTGGATCGTTATAAAGCTCTCCATTCTCATCATCCTCAGATTGAGTAGGAGGAGGAGGAGGAGGAGGAGGAAGGGGTGGCCTTGCTGACTCAGGGATGGCAGAGGAGGAAGAAAATCAGTGTGTAAGTGGAGCCAGGCAGTTCACACTTGTGTTGTTCAGGGGTCATCTATACTGTGATTTCTTTTGAGCTGCAGTCTCCTCTTTCTCTACCCTTGCTTCTCTCCACCGCTGGCTCCATTCCTGACACTTTCTTCTCGTTGTTCTCAAGCCCAGGAAACGTTGCCTCTCCCTGGAAAAGACAGAAGCCATCTTTAGGCAGCCAGGGTGTGGCAGTTCATCACCTACCTACTGTCGTTCACCACCACCCTACCCACTGTTAATCATCCGCTCATTTACATTTCAGCCATTTTTGAGTCTCCACTATTGTGTATGGATAGACTTTCACTCCTCGACTTTTATTCTTTTCCTTCTGACTTCTCACATACTCTTCTGAGTGGGAGAGAGAGTGCATGACCAGCAAAGTACTGGAAAGACACGGGCATATTTTTGAGGGCAGTCCCCCTTAATTAAGGGAGACGGGCTCTAAAAATTCTTGCAAATAGACAAATGGGAGGATATTTGCTTCTAATTTGAAATTACTGAACACAGCTGGTCTACAACTGGTCTATTTAATGTTCTTGATTTCTCCTGTGCTCTTTCAATTACCCTAATTGCTACTAGGCAAAAACTTCAATCAAGTTTTAATTTATCCTTAATGTTAGCCCTAAATAGCTGCTGTTCTCTCTTAAGAAGGAAGTCAAGTTTTGGAGCAAGATGCATTTAAACCCATTTTGGGCTGTCAAAAATATCCCAATCTCATGGGTCTAATAAATGTTTAACAACTGGATTGGAGTGGATGGGGAGAGAGGGCTCTGATATGAAACATTAGTCAGTTTCTGTGCTGTAAATACTCCCACCCTGGTAGATTTTAAGCTACCAACCAGACTTCGCTGAATGGAGTGGGGCACAGATGCTAACGATTAATTGGCTCATGTGAGTAGTTGGGCGCAGCTCCCACACTGTACCCAATCCCTGAGTCCTTAATCTTCATCAGACCCCGACTTGCTTTCCAGTCATTGTCTCTGATCTCCATTAATGACACCTCTCAGTCAGCCAGGAAAGAGACCTGGCAGTCCCGTCGGCTCCTCCCTCGTCCTCCTCTTTCACACCTAGTCCCTGAATCCTGTTGATTTCATTTCTCAAATGTCTGAGTCTGTTCTGTTGTCCATCCCTGCCACCAACACCCTGGTCCACAGCTTTCATTGCCACGGCATTGACTTGGATTTTGGTTCCTCTGCCTCCACGCTTGCCCCTGTCGACCTCTCTCCGCTCTAAAGACAGAGTTAGCCTGCCAACACTTAAATTATGTCAGGCCAGCCTTTTGTTAAAAATCTTTCTGTGGCTTCCTCTTGCCATTAGGATAAGTCCAAACCCTCAGCGTAATTTACCTAACCCTCGTGGGCACCCCCAATATAGACTGTGATCTGGCCCCTGCCTGTCTCATTCCCCAACGGGCTTCCCTTGCTCCCTTGGTTCTAGCCATTAGGAATTGCTGCATTTCCTCAAGCACTCCAAGCTCTTTCTCCACTCTTCCTTTGGTGGAGCTGCTTCCTTTATCTGTGTGATCATCTCTCCTCCCACTCCCCACCCACCAGTGGCCCCAAGGGGGCTAACTGCCCGTTATCCTTCAGTGATTTGTGTGGTCTTTTGTCGGTTCCAGCGTGACTTCCTGGGGGAGGCCCTTGACTGGGGGCTCCCCTTGCTGTGGCCCCTTGTGCGTAGATGTGCCCTGTGTCTTCTCCACAAGTGGGACTCCTGCAGGGCCTGGGGCAGACTGGTCTGTGCTGCCAGATTCCCACACAGCCCGCAGTGCCTGCCATGTAGTTGGTGCTCCATAAATGTCGCCTCCGTTTCTTGGATTTATGCGGGCCCCAATTTTCTATTAAAGAGTAAGTTCTATGTGGCCAAACATGTTCTTACTTCCTGTACTTTCTATCAGCAGTTTATCAGCTTAGCAAAAAAAGTACCTGATGAATAATTTCTGCCCCTAAAGTCATGTTGTTTTTTCTAACCAATTTTTTCCCCCTCCTAGGTTCTATCAGCTGTAATTCCCTACCAGTATACGCGGCCGTGAATGAGAGTGTAACTTTTCATCCATCAAGTCATATGCCTTTTCAAGAGATCCTGTGGAAAAAACAAAAGAATAAAGTTATAGAATGGGAAAACTCTGAGTTCAAAGCCTTTCCACCTTTTAAAGGTAGAGTTAATTTAGACCCTGTGTCCGGTAACCTCACTATCTTCAATTTAACATCATCAGATGAAGATGAGTATGAAATTGAATCTCCAAGTATTACCAGTACCAACAAGTTCTCTCTTTATGTGATTGGTGAGTATTCCATAAATTGATGTGTTTTTTTTTTTGAGACAGAGTCTTACTGTGTTGCCCTGGCTAGAGTGCCATGGCATCAGCCTAGCTCACAGCAACCTCAAACTCCTGGGCTCAAGCGATCCTCCTGCCTCAGCCTCCCAAGTAGCTGGGACTACAGACATGTGCCACCATGCCCGGCTAATTTTATTTTTCTATATTTTTTTTTAGTTATCCAGCTAATTTCTTCCTATTTTTAGTAGAGATGGGGTCTCGCTCTTGCTTAGGCTGGTCTTGAACTCCTGAGCTCCAACGATCCTCCCGCCTCGGCCTCCCAGAGTACTAGGATTACAGGTATGAGCCATCGTGCCCGGCCTTGATGTGTTTTAAATGGCAAACTTCCACCTGTTTTCAGAGACAATACAAAATTAAATGTCACATGTTGGCAGGGTTTTCTCCTCTTTCTGGCATACAGGAGCTAGCTCCTTTCAATTCCTTTGACATCCCCTGGGTGAGGAGAGAATCTGGCCGAGGTGGGACACACAGCACCAGTTGTCTTGCTAGGAATGTTCTGGGAAGGGATGCAGTGACCACAACCAGCTCAGAGCTCCTTGAGCTCCGCTGATAGATGGTACTCTGTAAATTAGAGTGCCTGCTTCCCCACGCAAGTAGTAGACGTTTTTCTTCTTGTACCCTTTGAAACTAGAACTGGAGATAGGGTACAGGTTTCTTTCTGCTTCTCATTGATGTTTCCTGGTTGTTCTCCTTCCCTCATCTCCAACGCCCCTTCCTTGTTGGACTCATTTATAGTCCCCTGGGTCACGTTTTAATGCCTGCCTCATTTTCACTGTTTCTAACCTTTCTGCTGTCATACTTGGTGGTGGTTGCAATATTTAAATGAAAGTTCTTGCTAATATCCTCTCAGTCCTTGGCCTCCTCTCCCATCATGATCTTGTCCTCTACCCGCTCCCTGAGACAACTGAGAACTTGTCATCCTTCGGTGTCAGGTGTCCCACCCTGACCACCACCTCCTGTGTTTGAAGCTCATTTCCTCTGCTACAGACACTGACAGTCCTTCACCCACCCACTGTCCTCTCGGCCCTCCTTACTCAGCTGAATGCCACTGTCACTCACTGGCCTTAATCCATGGCAGGCATGCTTTCCTTGCTCCTATTTCTTTTTTTGAGATAGGGTCTTGCTCTGTCACCCAGGCTAGAGTGCAGTGGCATCATCACAGCTCACAGCAACCTCAAACTCCTGGGCTCAAGTGATCCTCTTGCCTCAGCCTGCTGAGTAGCTGGGACTACAGATGCACACTACCACATGCAGCTTTCTATTTTTTTGTAGAAATGGGTGTCTCCCACTTGCTCAGGCTGGTCTCAAACTCCTTACCTCAAGTGATCCTCTTACCTCAGCATCACAGAGCGCTAGGATTGCAGGTGTGAGCCACCGCGCCCAGCCCGTTGCTCCGTTTTTGATTTGTCATACTCACATGGCCAGACTACAACGGGGTTAAATCCAGTGCTTTGCCTATTCTGTACTCACACTTTCCTGGTTGCAGAAAAACACATCACCCTGCAGAATCCTGCACTTTTAATTTCTAATCACTTACCTCCACAAAACCTGCTATTCCCTAGCCTGTCCACTCGCCCACTCTCTGGAGGTTATCTTTCCTCTCCTCAAACCTCGACTCCCTCCTTTGCAGACTCGCTCCTCAGCTGAAGGCTTTGCTTCTTGTTTCACTAAGGAAGAGAAGCAATCAGAGGGGAATTTCCACAAGCTCTCACCACCTGTCCACCTTCCTGCCTGTACCTGAGCCTGTGTGCCCTGTTTTCTCTCCTGATACAATGAGTGAACTTTCTAAGTTCTCGCCTGAGGCCAAACCTTCCACGTGTGTCCCGGATCCCACCTCCTTATCACTCTAGTGATTCTATCTACTCTCTCCTTGCAGTGATTTTCCCCAGGAGTTAGTGGTTCATTTTCAGCAGCACATAAATATGTTGTCATCTAAACCCTCTCGTGAGCCCTCTCCCCTCCAGCATCCTGCCCCTACTTCTGTCGTCACTTTATAGAAAATCTCCTTGAAGAAATCCACATTCACCTGTCTGGCCTTTCTTCTCTTAGTCACTTTTTACCCACTCGAAGTAGGCTTCCATTCCCCCTACTAGACCAAATGTCTTGACCTTCTTGTTAATGAAGCCAGTGGCCCATTCTCAGTCCACATCTTTCTGGACATCGTCACAGGTTTTGACACAGCTGGTCACTCCCTCCTTGAAGCACTGTCTTCACTTGGTGTTCAGGATACCTCCCTATTCAGGTTTTTTCTAACTGACTGACTATTCCTTTTCGAAGTTTCCTTTGCTGGTTCCCTCATTTCCCCAACCTTTTATCCTTGGACACTTCGAGGCTTCAGCCTCGGGCTTCTTCCCTTGTCTGCCTACACTCACAGCCAACGGGCAAGCTCAGCCCATGTCAGGGCTGTAAGTGTCATCTCGACTCTGAATGCACAGGTTTACCGCTTGAGCCTGGACCCCTACTGAGCTGCTCATGTGTACACCTGACTGCCTACTCCATATCTCCACTCAGATATCTAACTGGCCTTTCAAATATCACCTGTCCAGAACTAAACTCATTATCTTTGCCTTAAAACCTGCTCCTCCACACACCTTTCCCCCCTTGGGTAATGCAGCTCCATTTTTCTAGTTAATCAGGCTAAATAAAACCTTGAGTTTTTCCTGGACACCTTTCTTTTTCTTGAACACCACATTCACTTCACTGGGAAATTTTGTTGTTTCTACCAGAGTGATCGTTTCAGAACAGAAGTCAGATCATGTCACTCATCTGTGTAGAACTTTCTAGTGGCTCCATCTCACCCGAAGTTAAAGCTAAAATCTTTACAGTGGCCGGCACGGCTGTATGAGATATGGCCCCAGTGAACTTCATTCAGACAAGTGAGGCTCGTTAAGACGTCAGGGCATCCTGTTAGAAGAACCAATAGATCTCTTTGAAGAAATAGAATCTTCGCAACATGGAAGTCGGGGATCTGGCAGTTTATAGGGCCAACAAACAAAAAGATTGATTCAGAATTTAGATAACAATGGAAGGCATTTTAGGAGCCCTTTTGTAGAGTTTATAAAACTAAGTTCAAAACATTTGAATAAGTTTCTCTTTTTAAACTTGATGAAATGTTTCAAAACAATTTAATTTTTAAAATTCTGTGGTAACACAACTAAGGTGCGTGATTTTGGTGGTCAGGCCAACAGGGAGCTTAGTGAAGGCCCGCAGGGGAGTAAAGTGCGGGGAAGGGGAGTTTTGATCAGGAGGCAGTGATATTGACAGTCCTGAATGTGGGGCTTGAAGTCGTGGTTGAGAGTCTGGGCTTTAGCCTGCGGCAGTGCGGAGCCATGTGTCTGAAACCGGAGCAGGGAAGTGACTTAATGAAACATATTTTTGGAAGATTAATCTGATGGGGGGTATTTATGATAGATAAGAGAAAGGAAATGCCAGGTTAGAAGCTACTGTGATCATCCAGGTAGACAGAAGGCTTAGTAGTAGAGGTTTGGAAAGGAAAGAATCAAAAGATACAGCCAAGAAAGAGGCAACAGGATTTAGGGTTTAGCATAAGATGACTCTAGGTTTCACACCTCAATGATAAAACAATTGGCCATGCTTTTTTTTTCTTCTTTTAAGAAATGAAGAAGTCATACTTCCTGGAGGTTATGTTAATACTTGTTTAAGTAACTTGGTAATCTTCCGGAGACACCAGAACTAATAGGAGACTTTCAGCAAGTATATTTTGGACAGGGGGATTTCCTGGCACCTCCTAAATTCAGGGCATCCACTTCCTTCTGTGTATAAGTTGAGATCTGCCTTTCTTTTCAGCCCCAAAGTCCCCTTAAAATTTCCACTGTTCATGTTTATTAGTTCTTTCTCCTCCCCTTACAAACCTTTATCACATTGAAGATGATGATTTTCCTCTAAGTAGAATTAACTGCTCTGTCCTTAAATGGTCTGGATTGGTATGTGACCTTTTTTTAAAGTTAATGGAAATATACACATATTTCTATAACATGTCGTAAGATATTTGTAAGAAATTCTCATTTCTTACACAGCAGTGAGCTAAATTCATTAATTATAAATTGATTAACTATCTTAGGGATGAAGTAGGCACATTGCTTGCCACTTTACTGCTGCTTAAGGTACAGATATAATTAATATTTGTTAGATAGCGATGTGGTAGGTCCCACGGGCAGTGAGAAAATATGGAAGATTTATAAAAGGAAAAGATCTGAGGTGCAGAAACTCTGATCTAAATGCTGCAGAAAGGCTCACACACTTTTAGGCAAGTCGGATAGGCACTTCCAGGTTCTCCCTCGGGCAACAGCAGTGTATGAGACAGTCAGAAAGGGCTTCTGTATAGTTAAGGGAGTTCCAATAACACAGAAGATAATAGTAGCATGTCCACATGTTTCCCTGCAAATAACTCTCACATTCTGTCTGGCCTTTGCAATGACCTGATAAAGCATTCCCTTTTACAGATGAAAATGAGACCATTTATGAGTGGGTTCCTCCATTTGTAGAACAAGAGGCCTGGACTGGACGACTGCTTAAGTCTTTTAGCTCCTAGAAGAACTGTGGCCCGAGGTCACACAGCAAGCCAGGGGCAAAGCTCAAACCTCTCGATTCCTGGTCAGTGACTCTTCTCATCATGTCACACATCCTCCTGGAGAGCCTTGGCCTCCTGGAGTTGATTACTCCTGGCCAGCAGCTTTGTGCTCTGTTGTAGCTAGCATCTGTTAAGCACTTACTCTGTGCAGGCACTACATGTTAATTCACATATGACTTATTATGTGTGTCAACTCGTTTAACCCTCATTACAGTCTGATGGGGTAAGTACTATTTGTCTCCCCCTTATAGAGAGGAGGAAACCTAGACATGGGGTGTCAAGTGGCTCTTAGTAATGGAGCTGGGATATGAACCCAGGCTTCTGAGAACATGCTGAACACCATATCATTCCTTTTTGGAAGTGAGCTGGTTGAAGAATTTACATTTTATAAAATGGAGAAAGTAATTTGAAGACTGTCTCCCTGAGTTTGTCCTTCTGTCCATCTGTCTCTCTATCCAGCCAGCAATACTTGTGAGGAGCCATCTGTGTGCCTTATATTGTATCAGGTGCTGTGGTTGAGAGGTGAATAATACCTGGTCTTTGCCCTCCACAGATTCACAGTCTGGGGGGCTCATGATATATACATGCCTCTGTTCAGCTCAGAAGGTATTGGATGAAAGACCAGACATTGGCTGAACTAGCTCAACAAATTATAACAGAATCTATAACGAGACAAACAGGCAACCCACATAATGGGACCCAGGAAGCTGTATTTTTAACAAGCACCCTCAGTGGTTCTTAGGCACATTGAAATTTGAGAAATGCTTCAAAGGAACATTTCTAAGGAAGTAGAAAGCTTGGTTTTCTGCCCAGGAGAAATGCCCGGCCTAGTTGCAGAGGCAGGTGTAAGTACATGCAGTACTGAGAACACGCATTTCTGTTCTCTTCTGGGGACACACGGGGTTCCTTAGAAACCCCCCAGGGGCTGCTGTGGGGGAAGGGTGGGTCATATGAACCACAGGAAGCTGGGGGAGCAGGGCCCTAGGCTTTTTGAGTCAGCTAGTGTAGCTCCTTACCCATTTGATTGGATTGTCACCTAAGATTTAATTTGGAGAAAAGTTTCCACTGCTTAAGACATGATTAAAAGTTCTTTTTGTTAAAGAAAACCTTAAGGCAGCATGTAAGGACTTATGTGAGTTGGATTAAACTTAAAAATTGAGGAAGCACCAAGTAAAAAGGGAAGTCAATGTGTGACCTCTGGTCTCTAACAAGGCAGGCTGGGTACATTATTTAAGTGACTGAGAAAGAATTCAGGAGGAGAAGAAGATGGGGGGAAGATTAATTAAACACTTTCATTTCTTAGATTATTAATTGGAGTTTAAACATTCCTTTGTCTTAGAAAGCATCATTTTAAATGATAGCTTAGTATTTCATTATCTTGGTGAACCTTAATTTACCTTCATACCCTTTTTAGTAGATGTTTATAATGTGTTGAAACTTTATTATCCAAGTGATACCATGACCATTGATGTATAATACACATATTTTCACATGTTTTTTCCAAGTCTCTTGTGATTAATTGCTGAAGGAAAGTTAAGATGCGAGAAGGTATATGAATTAACAAATGACTAATAGTGCAAACTAATTAGCACTGAGGTTTTGGGGGGCGATAATGGTATAATGTGAGTATATTAACCTACCCTTGCAGGTCCAGGCTCCCTTAGCCAGTAGGAGGTGCTTCCTACAGGAAGGCTGGGAGTGAGGCCTCTGGACTGGCAGGCCCGTGACACATGCTACACCTCACTCTACCAGCAAGCTGGCCCAACCAACAGGCAGGGCCTGCAAGGCGCTGTGTAGCTCCACAGAACCTTTACAAAACCCCTTGAGTCAGATATGTTTTGGAATTATTATTATTTTTTTTTTACATTTTGGAAAGGTAATACAAGGTATTTTCTCTCTGCATATTAAATACCTCATTTAGTTATGGGGAGCACCCTATGGCCAAGCACAGGAATATTTTTGTGGTGAAACAAAATTGATTATGAATATTTGAGGTAAGTGAGAAAAAATAAAGTCTATAAATCCTTACGTTAATTCAGATCAGGACTTGTAGATCAATGATTTTTGTACCAACTTTGGAAAAATCTTTTGGCTTTCAGAGCCTTTTTTAATTTCAGAATTGAGGATAAAGGGTTTGGGGCCCAAATGTATTCTGTTACAGTTGAACAGGTAGATCTGACCCAGCAGAGGACAGGATTTGCACCCCTTGATGCTCAAGGAGGGGGTCTGCTCATCTTTCCGAGCTCATAAGGAGGTTGGGAGCTCTTCATAAATTTGTGGATCGTGAGTCTGAATATTACTCTTTACTAAATATTACACTTTTTTTTTTCCAGAGCCTATTCCATCTCTTACACTAACTTGTACATTGACTGATCAAAACATTATCGTCCAGTGTGAGATCCTGGAGCATTATGACAGCCATCCAGAACTTCTAAAGTACTCATGGGATTGCCCTTCAGACCAATGTAAAAATAACTCAGCACCTGAGATGCATTTTGATAGGGAAAGTGATCATTCACAGAAAATACAATGTACTGTTAGCAATAAAGTATCCAAAAGGACATCGTCAATCATTTTGGCAACCTGTTTCCCAAGCGCTGGTGAGTAAATAACTAAATGTGTCATGGTGGAGATAATATTTACCAGTGGGGTCTAAGACCAGTAGTAGTTTGTGGTGGCTAACATAAGGTTCACTAGTTCGAAGTGTCAAATGAGTTACAATTTCCACAGAAACCCCATTGTAGATATTATAGATATAAAGCTAACCATTTTTTTTTAGCTCTTTCTGTGTCGAGCACCTTTCTAATACATGTGTTAATTGATTCAGTCTTCACATCAGTCCTCATACAACCCTATGGTTTAGATGCTAGTATTTATCCCTATTTTATGGTGAGAAACCAAGACACAGGAAGTTTAAGTTGCTTGCCCAAAGTCAACAGCTAGTAAGTGGCAGAGCCTGGTTTTGAACTGAGGCCATCTGGCTCCAAAGCCCATGATCTTAACTATTTACAATGCTGCTTTATAACATTCTTAATAATCATTATGTTCTTAAACGTTTCACATGTGCTACAAAAACATGCATTTGATATGTTTCTTTAGGCTAACATTAAGTTAATAGCACGACAATCTGTCTTGGATATAGTTTTTTATGTTTAAGTATTATTTACATTTATAATTTTTATTATC